TACAATGTAGCCAATGGTGGGAGTGTATGTGAAAACAGGAAATGTTTAGTCTATTTCTCTATGTACTGTTGTAAGCATCTCATTTCCGGTACAATGTAGCCAATGGTGGGAGTGTATGTGAAAACAGGAAATGTTTTATGTTTTTCTCTTTGTACTGTTGTAAGCATCTCATTTCCGGTACAATGTAGCCAATGGTGGGAGTGTATGTGAAAAGGTGTTAGGGCTATTTTACTTTAGAAATGGATAAATATATGTATATTTGAAACTATACTTAAGTGTTTAAGTAAAATAAAGGTGACACCTGGAGACTGATTGAAAATGATATCAATGCTAATCAATTTATAAAAACTAATATGAAAAATTATCTTAAATATATAGTAAGTTACGAAAGCGCTCGGGTTATAGGGTTTTTAGTCATTTCTATCAAGACTTCTTGAACCTACGTGTTTTTCTAACAACAAGAACTTATTTAAAGTGGACTATTGTTCGAGTCACTTTTCTTATTTTACCACCACGTAGCACTTTGTAGTAACTGTTTTTAGTTTGATAGCTTCACGAGTAATTTCTGCGCCGTTGAATCCAAATTGCAGGAAAAATTAGAAAAAATACACCAGGATAATCAACGTCAGATCGGTGACCTTCAACACGAGTTGTCAGTGGTCAAGGCTGAGAGAGAAGACCTTACCAAATATATTCGCGAACTGGAACAAGCTAATGATGACCTTGAACGTTCTAAAAGGTAAAAAAAAGAAAATGTTTTTGATAATTTCAACTCCATATTTGGAAATATCAAACTTTTAAAAGAATCTGATTACTTGTCACACAATGAACGAGTCTAAGAAATAGGTTATTTTATTGACTTTTTATATAATCTTCTACAGAAAATACGTTATATAAAGAGCAAAATATTAAGTTTTTAAAAGGTAAATGAATTAAACAGTATATGACTTGTTAATACAGCTGGGCAATTAGTGGTATTTGGTAATCGATTAATCAATAGCCCCATTAATTGATTACACTGGATTGATCAATTGGTACAGTCTTCCATGATATGTACAAACGAAAAAAAAACAGGTAGTGGTGGGTGCTGCCAATCAGATGCCCACCCTCTAAGGTAGCAGTTACAAGAAGAAAAATGTCCCTTCCCCCCAAAAAAAAAAAATTGGCGGAGTTTACTATGTAGCTTTGTGTTTAGCACCAAACAAAGATAATAGCAATATTTTGATTAGTTAATTATTTTCATGACAATCAGTATGATTAGAAATTTTATTTAATGATAATTTTGATTTATCGATTAGTTTACTTGACACTAATCAGTGTAATCACTTGTTCACAGGTAATCGATTAAATCACCCAACTAAACTATCTTATGAAACTATATGGATTTTGCTACTTTTCAGGACAACAGTCTTATGAAATTTTTTATGCTTTCCATGACAACAGTCTTATGAAATTTTGTTTTTTTATGCTTTCCAGGACAACAGTCTTATGAATTTTTTTTTTATGCTTTCCATGACAACAGTCTATTGAAATTTTATGTTTTTTATGCTTTCCAGGACAACAGTCTTATGAAATTTTATGTGTTTTTTTCTTATGCTTTCCAGGACAACAGTCTTATGAAATTTTATATGAATTTTTTATGCTTTCTAGGACAACAGTATGCTCTCTTGAAGATTTTGAATCAAAGCTGAATCACGTTAGTATATTATTTAATTTTTCAAAATTTTTTTTCTGGTGTTTTTATACACTATCTGATCTGTTTCTTGTATAAAATTTAATTCTGAGCAGTAGGTGTTAAAATCGGGAATTTTTCACCAATCCTCATATATTTGATAATGTTGACTATCGAAGGTACCTCAGTTAATATAATATTGACTTTTAACATTGCCAGAAATTATAAATACCCAGTCATGATACTACAACTGAATATTAGAGAAAATTTCTTAGAAGTGGTAACTCAAAATAATCAAAAGTAAACTTTATAAACACCTTGTGTGCTGATTCAGAAAGTTTTAAAAATCAAATTACTGACTTGTTTTTATACTATTCACTCCTAGTGGAGTTCACATGTTGTGTCATATTGAGTAATTTTGTTTTTTCGTGTTAAATCACCCAGTGTAAATAAGTGGGTAAAATACTCATTTTCTGTGTAAAACACAGAGGGAGCTCTAGCGATAATTATAATTAGTGGGATTAATTGCAATGTTAATGGTATTTTTGTTTTGTTCATATGCTATTAGGAACCTTTATAAGTAACGAACTCATTTACCCACAAGCAACTAGATGCATCAATAGTACGAATCCGCATCCCACCAAACATGCTCGCCCTTTCAGCCGTGGGGGCGTTATAGTGTGACGGTCA